TGTCGCCAGAGAACATGCCCGGGCCACGTCTTTTGTCACTCGTGTTCAAGCAAGTGAATGAAAAGTGCTGGAAGTTCATACCATGGAAGATTAGGTTAAGCGAAGACCAACATGATTCGCGCATGGCCGAAAGACCCCACAAAAGGCCGCGACTTGACCTTCTAGCAGTGGATGATGTGCCGCAGAGAGACTTGAGTCTTCAACACATGTCTCGCACTGTGATGCAAGAAATCTTGGATCTGCACGCGACGGCTATTGCCTTGGTGGGGGGCGCCCATTTTCACACCCTTCGCGAGATGAATCGCCGTTTCCTGGCCAAAGCGTGCGAGCGCTATGGCAGTGACACAGGCCTGAGGTGCCCGAACCACGCAGAAGCCATGCAGGCTGATCAGAAGCTTTGGCAGAGCATCAGCTCCCTGATTAATGATGAGGGTTGGTGCATGGACGATGCTATTCATGAAGTTGTCGTGGTTCGCAACGAGATCGCAACCTTGCTGATGCCTAGACCTAATCCCCCCAAATTGCCGGCTTCGTGGGTATTGCGCAAGGGGGGACTAAAGGGCCTTGGAAAGGGGAAAGGAAAGGGGGCCAAAGGGGGCAAGAGTGCTAAGGGTTCCGGCGTGCAAGTCAATGGCCTCCAGATTGCCACCTTCTACAAGAAGGGTCAGGAGAAGCATCTTCTGTGCAATGATTTTTCCAAAGGTAAGTGCACTAGGCCAAATTATTGCAAATTCGAACACAAATGTGGTGTGTGGCTTCCGGATGGGAGCATCTGCCTCCAGGATCACACGCCTTTGCAGCACAAGAAAACCGCCCACTAGGGGTCTGGGGACACGTCATGCCCGGCTAGTGTGCAGCCTGCGATCCCGCTTGTCCTCCCCGTTGGGGATAGCGTGTCGTGTGATCCCCCCCTTCAGTTTTGCGCAAAGCGGACTTGCGGGAAAAGTTAATACCTGAGCTTCACTCCCCTGCTTTACCTGGACAGGTGTGTGACAGTTCGCCAATGCTGAGTGCTGAGGTGGACAGAGCGCCGCCCCACGTGCTGCACGGTGCAGGGGCACCTGCGGCGCGCTCTCCAAGCAGTCGGCCAATCTTGCGTTCTCCTTCTGGGGATTGCCGGGGTGTTGAGGATAGGTGCGTAATGCAGGATGTAGGGGCTCGTTCGGTCACATCTCCAGCAGCGCAGCCAATCTTGCAATCGCCTTTTGATGAGTGCCTAAGCGTTAAGGATAGTCTTGCGCCGCAATGTGTTGGGCCCTGTGGGTCCCAATCTCCAACGAGACAGCCGGTCTCGCAATCTTCTTTTGATGAGTGCCCAGGGGTGACGGGTACTTTGGTGCCGCAATGTGTAGGAAACCAGTCGGCCCAGTCTGCAACGAGACATCCGTTCTCGCAATCTCCTTTTGCTGGGGGTTTCAACGGTAAGGGAGTCTTGCGCCGCAAAGTGTTGGAACCCACTCGGCCCAATCTCTGTCGAGACAGCCGGTCTCGCAATCTCCTTTTGATGAGTGCCTGGGTGTGGAGGATTTGGCCGCCGCCATGCCTCGGCCAACTGCCGAAGATTTGCTTTCGATGGTAGATCAGTTGCCATGCAAACAGTCAGGAAATGTGCTTTGGTCTGGAAACAGCCACTCGTGGCAGTCAGGCGCCTGGGGCTCGGGGAAGCTTTGTGGATTGCGCGCGAACAGTACGCAGTTCCCCAAGTTCACTTCCCTTGTGTGCCGGTTCATCCATGCCATACTTCCCACTTTTCGTTTTACGGCTTTTGCCTTTCTCCGGAACGCCAGTGCAAACAAGCAGGTTGATGGCAGTTACATTTCAGGTACGTTGCATCTTGTTATTCCCTTGGGCAGCTTCACTGGTGGAGACATTGTGGTGGCGACTCATCCGCCCACCAGGTTGCTGGTCTGTGAGTCTCCGGTCCTTTTGGGCCCGTCACTTCGTTACTGGGTTGAATACGTGGCAAGGCTCTAGAGATGTTTTAGTTGCGTATTCCCCGAATCATTTTGAGGAGCTAAGCCACACAGATCAACAAGCCTTAGTTCGGTTAGGGTTTAGGCCCCCTGCTGCGTCCCCTGATAATAAGCTTGCAATGGGCCCTGTTCCTAAAATTGCTAGCCCTCTGCCCCGCCAGGAACCTCTGTGTGCTGCTATTCCGTGCGCGCCTGATGCTGGAGACCGTTTCACACGGGCCGCATCTCAGGCTACCCAGGCCCTCTTCCTGGAAATGTGTGCAGGCGGAGGCGCCCTTGTCCAAGGCCATGGCAGCGTAATCTGGATTGAGTCTGTGTGTGCGCTATAGTCTCTAGAGAGAACGAATCCTTTTCTATTTTCTCTTCGAGGCCTGGGCTGGGCCAAAGCCCACAAGGGCCCCAAGGCCCCCAGGCCCCCCACCTCCGGGCCTAGGCTTTGTAAGGAGTTCGAGGGTTTGGAGGAGGCAGTGGGTCGTGCCTGTAAGCAAAGTGTGGTGGTGTAGACACGGTATTTCTGGTGCGGCAGTGACGGAAGTTGCCCGAAGGCAAAATGTGGGTGACACCTTGCCAAGTCCCAGGTTCAAAAGAGCCTG